CGCGCAGGACGCGGGCGCCATAGGCGCGGGTGAAGGTGCGCAGGGCGCGCAGGCCGGCGCCGGGCTCCGCAAACTTGCGCCGGGCCTCGGCGGCCGCGAACAGCTGCTCGGCCACGGGCTCGGGGAAGCCGACGAGCGAGTCGAGCCACTCCACGCGCGCCGCCACGTAGGCCAGCGCCAGGCCGAAGAGCGGCTTGGCTGAGTAGCGCAGGCTGCCCTCGGCCGTGTAGGTGAAGACGAAGGGCCCCGAGCGCTGCCGCCGCCGCGCGCCCTCGTCCTCCCCGCTCAGCCGCAGCTCCACCGAGAAGCCCTTGGGCGGCCCCGCCGACATGGCGGGAGGAGGAGGAGGAGGATGGCGGCCAGGAGGCCTCCTCCCCCCGGCTCCGCCTCCCTCAGCAGCGCCCCCGGCCTCGAGGCAGCGCTCCTGTGTGGGAGCCGCCAGTCTCCCTCGCGCCCCGGCTCGCACCCCCACCCCAACCACGCCAGGCCCAGGCAGGACAGGCCCCGCGACCCAACACACACGGGGCCCGAAAGTGGTGAAAATCATGATGACTGTCTCTGAGGAAAAGGGGGCCCCATGATAAAAGTTTTCCCAGGAGTCGGGGAGGGTGCTCGGGTGGCCACCGAGGTGGTGCCGCGGCGGTTTTCCGTTTAGGACAGGCCACCCTCGAAGCGAGGGGCTGCCGGCAAGGACGGCGCTTTCCTGGGACCCAGTCACGGTCACCTGCTGTCCGTGGCCCGGCGGTCGCATGCGGAGAGGACTGAGGCTGACTCGGTTGAAGGCCCGGTGTTTCGGTCTTGAACCTTTTGTAGTCCGTGTAAATGGATGTTCGGAAAATGGCATGGAAATAGAAATACTTCTGGGGATGGCTTGTCACTAGCGATCACTTGTCTGCAAGGGTTTTCCACGTCCCTGCAGTGCTATAGGTCTCCTGCCAGTCATCTGTACAACTCTCAACTCCTATTTCTTCCACCATTTCCAGTTTCACAGAGTACTTTGCAAGCTGGTGTTCAGCCCCAAACCACATACACTTTTGTTTTTTAACTACTTTTATTGCACTGCAGCTCCTGTGATAATATGATGTTGGCAAAGATCTTTCCCGCTGTTGTGCAGCCACGCTGCCTTGCAGGATTAGGGCCTGTTATTGCCAACAGGGGAGAGAAACGGGGACGCTGACAATGTAGTAAGGGGGAAATGGCAGTCAAAATAGTAAATAACAAAGTCCGACAATGAATTTGGAAGGCAGCTGAGATGTTTACACAAGAGGCTTTTTAGAAAACCTTGCAGTAATATAACGCCCGAGCCTTGTTCAATAGGGCTGTGGCTGATTTGGTTGCACTGCAGTAAATACTCGGGCTTCAAAAATATTTTCTTCAATATTTGTAGGTCAAGCATAATCTGAACTCTCAGGCTTTTAGGCCTGGGATTTAACGGAGGATGCCAGCTTAATTATGGCTATTGGATTTGGCCTGAGACAGGGACATATTTAAAAAAAAATGTACCTATAGATTAAAAAGAGTATGTGCTTGAAGCACATCAAAAGACTTTCTGAACACGCTTACAAAGAACACGCTATGAACAACGAGCAGCTGTGCTTGTTTCAGAAGAGGAACCATTTGCCAGCAGCAGAGCAGCGTGTGGGGACCGTTTTGATTGTAACTCAAGAAATACCAGCTGTCGAGTCCGAGCTGTTGAAAACAGAGGCCAAGTGTCTCTCTTAAGAGTGTGATCCACGCCCCGCTCTGCATTCCTGTTAGGGACTGAACTTGCTGCTAGGCAACTCTGTGACCCTCCCATTCAGCGATAGTCCAACAGCCTTTGATTTCTTTCTAAATCTCATGCAGATCAATGAGACAGGATGAAATTAACAGACCCGTGTCTGAGTTCTGAAGGAGCTGAAGTTATCTTAGCCACATCAAGCGATGAAAAATATCCCCCTGAAAACATCATTGATGGGTAAGTGTTGCTGTTTAGCTCAGCGTAGGTGAAAGTGGTTGCATCAACTGCTTTTGTGTCACAGACATGCCTTATTCTGTCACTGGATTTTATATCACAATATATAGTATACAGACAAGGCTACAGACAAGGCTCTTTGGGTAAATCTGATACCTTTTGTTAGACCAACTCAAGTAGTTGGAAAAATTCTTAGCAAGCCAGCTTTCAGGTTTAAATAAACCAACATGGCTACAACCTATACACCTGTATATATTATACATGTACACATACACATTACAATAAAATAATATTAAGATAAAGCCAAGCATTCAAAAGCTTTAAAATTCCAGAATTAAGGTTCTCTGGGTAGCCTTACTTTGACTCCTTTGTGCATAGAGATGACGGTAGGGCTTAATTATGTGTCCATGGCTTAATCAGCATGTGGAATAGACCGTGCTTAATGAGATGCTAGTGTGCACTTCCATTGCTGAGGGTGGGACTCTATGTTTTATTTACTGTACACAATTTAAAACATGCTATGAAGGCAGAGTTATTATTTTCCTAAGCTTTTCTGTGATGTTAGTTACTATAGTATCCGAGTGCTTCACAAGTAATACTTTGTTTTCAGAACACCACAGGGAGGTCAGGTTATTACCCCCATTTTACAGGTGGGGAACAGATGCACAGAATGATTAAGTTCAAAAGTTTCTTCTGATTGTGGATGCCCAGGTTGAAACCCCAAGGGTCTGATTTTTCAAAATACTTAGCATTTGATAGCACTTGGTGTATTTGAAGCATAGCTACCACTGATTTCAATTTGAGATGTGCATGCTCAGTATGAGGATGCTCAAGTAGGGCACCCAGAAAATAAGAAACACACAAATACTAACAATTTTTAAAAAGTTTAGTTGTAGTGATGTACCCAGCATCACACAGGAGACTGTGCAGCATTCAACTGCCTTAACCATTCATCATCCGGCTTTTCTTTTTCTGCAGTCCCTTGCTTCATTCACTAATAAAATTGTCAAACTTCTGCAACGAATTAGATAGATGTCCGTCCTACCGATTATAGCCTCTTTCACTGTATGTGACCCCAGTTGACTCCCAGAATGCAATCATTCCTGAAAAGGGGTTTTTCAAAGTACTTAAAACTGGGCAGCTAGGATCTGGAATCAACTTCCAGGGGAAGTGGTGCTGGCTCCTAAGATAATCACTTTGCCGGGGTTGTTTGACCCCAGCATTCTTTCCTGCTCATGGCAGCGGGTCGGACTTGATGATCTGCTTAGGTCCCTTCCGACCCTACCAACTGAAATAGTGTCTGAGGTTGTAGGGTGCAGTTCATTAACTGAAGTTAATCCATGCATGCATTCTGAAAACACTATATGGCCCTATATGGCTCTTAGTTGCCACTTCCCTTTTGTTTAAAGTACCAGTAAATGATAAACCTAACTGGAAGTAGAGTTTGTAGCTTAATTCTCTATTTCCTGTTGATCTCTCTGTGGGATTTCTTTCCTTGTGTATGGTACATATTTAAGACTTTAACAGAAGGTTATAGACAGTGCATGAAATTAAACGTATGTGCAAATCTTAGCAAAATCAGGCCTAATGTTGCATAGTTAGAAGAAGTTCTAGGCACCTGCATTTGCAAGGCCTGGCTGGTGCAACATTCATGATAGTTATAACCTACAGCTGACTATTTAGATAGTAGGCAAATCAACTGTGATATATGGCATGCATTACCTCACAGCAGTAGACATATTTGTGATTTTCATGGAATGCAATGGAAAAAAGTCTGAAGAAAGAAATATGCAAATATGACAGGCATTTGACTGGGATGGTTTAGGAAAAATCCTGTCTTGAGCAGGGAGTTGTACCTCCAGAGGTCCCTTCCTACCCTACTACTTTATGATTCTTTCTGCAGAAAGAATACTGACAAAATTAATCTAAACAGGGTCTCTATATGATGGCCCTTGAAACTCCAACTTTAGAATAGAGTGGCCAATGAGAAATCAGATTCAGGTATTTGCAAATGTTCTGTGATAAAGGCAGGCAAGGTTCTTTGGGTAAATGTGTTATCTTTTATTAGACCAAGCGTGATGAACACACTTGGGAGTAGTATAGGAACCAAAAGATATTCATAGGAGAAAGAGAAAATGTAGTGATCATGGATGTTATATTAGATCTGTAGCTGTGACTTTTTAAAACAAAAAATATAAATTACTTTGCAGATACCAGTATTTTGTAAATATATCTTAATATTTTAAATAAAACTTGTATTTTTTTTTAACAACAGAAATTCAGAAACGTTTTGGACGACAACAGGAATGTTTCCACAGGAATTCATTATCAGTTTCCATAAATGTGTAAGATTCAGCAAACTCACGATCCTATGTTACTTAGGTAAAAATACAGTGCACATTAATATTTTAATGTTCACAATAGTGTCATATTCTGTACCTACTTCACAAGCTGAGAAATGAGCCAACCTATAGTCATTTAACTCTAAAATTTTGCATGTTCTTTGGACATGTCAGAAAAAAATGAAACCTCTCAATACCAGTGACCATTGTGCATTATGTTATGGATAGCAAATTGCCCATCCAGAATGACAGGGTGGGGCGGAGGGGCAGGCGGGGACAGAGCACCCGCATCCACCACTCTCTGTAGCTGCCGCCTCCCAGGAGCGGGGGCAGAGGAAGCTTGTATGCAGTGGCAGCCTCTGCCACCCACTACCCAGCTCTGCCACGCCATGCATCCTCCCCTCCCCCCAATTCCGTGTCTCACTGTGCACCCTCCCCCCTTGCTGCTCCGTGTCCAGCCCTACACCACCCCCCTCTCCCGCCACTCTGCATCTGCCTCCCCCACATCTGCCTGGCTGCTCTGCCTGGCCCACTCTGCTGGAGCCACACCCCGCCCCTCATTCTCGATGGGCATTCTTGACGCAGCACTGGCTGCAGCCATGCCCCACTGGGAGCCACGTCCACCAAGAGCGTTACAGACAGACAGACAGACAAAGTCCTTTATCTATACAGATGTATATATATGGAATACATGGAGTAGGAAAACTTGAGCTGCTAATTATTTATGCCCCAAGGCCTGAAGATACTTAGCCTTTGTTATTTTATCCTAGCTAATGTAATCTTAATGTACCAATCTGTTTAGCTTATTAATGGTAACTATTAATAATATATTATTTGCTTGCAAAAGTTCTATAAATAATTTATGTATAATTTTCTTTATTGATTTTAATTTTTAGTTTAAGGGAACGATGTTCTGTATCCTTTGTTTACATTTTTTCAAATTTCTGTAATTAGAAAAATTGGGCTTCAGACAAGGCAGTAGGAACTCTAGTTTTAGCTTATCTTAGACCAATCATTTATATTTTAATTTCAGTTTTCCTGAGGGTAATGAGTAGATCATTACCTACCTACCATATTGGATATAGTATGATTAATTGATTAATGTTTGTAAAAGTCTTTGAAGATTTAAAGTGATGGTGTTTGTAAAATAGTAATATGATACAAAGTCAGCTTCTATGCTAAGCCTATACTGAATTTTTTAAAACATATTTCAGTGCAGACTATAAGGATTGAAAAAAGCTTATCTAAGGATCCAGTAGATTTTGAGAAGTGTGTTGAAAAAGGTGAGTAACCAAATATGCAGTAGCTCTGATTGTCTAGGAATTGTGTTGATCTTTATGCATTTGATGATCCACTTAAAGCTCTCTCTCTACATCTTTAGCAGAATCAAGTTCACATAATGTATGTGATGTTGTATTTTCTTGCATACAGTGTACCCCAAAATAAGATATGCACCTTATTTTTGAAAGGCAGAATTAAGAAAACCACATATTTCCTTGTATTAAGTAACTGAGCAGAAGCAGTTTCTGCTACCTGTAGATCAGTGTAGACTTACTTTGGCTTTTGCCTGCTAAATGGTGGAAACTGCTCTTATTGTACCTCTTTCATATAATTGCACTCCAATTTCCAACATGTGTTTTTTGGAAAAAATGTGAGAAAATATGATGTATTGGAAAGGATTCTCCTTGTATATTTCTACTGATACACTTAATCAATAAATTTTAATTAAGTAAAGTCCTGTAAATTCATAGTAAAAATTGTATGTGAAAACATTTTGGAATTATGTCTTCCTATTGCTATACCATGTCTTAGTAATGAATAGTTAGCACTTTTCTAGTCAAAGCTTTTCTGTGAGAATAAGAACCAGCAATAGGATAATATTAAGGTTGATGCTTTTTTGTACTCAGGCATTTGGGGATGGGGCAGAGGCTGGTTTGTTTTATTTTTAGTTTCTCACAATTTGTATTTATTTGATGTAAGTTTAGATGACTTGTAGAGTCTTTGCTGTTTGAACAAATAGGAATCCACCTTTTGTTTCAAAATGGTATAACCTGGTATACCGTGCACCTAATCTCACAGTTACTTATGTAAGTAATTTCTCCTGGGAGCAATCTCATTGATTTCAGTGGACCTGCTCTTTTGAATAGATACTTCATGCGTAATTGTTTGTAGGTTTTATGTTGGTTCCATTTGATATTAAGTGAAAAACTTGGCATAATGGAAAATCAGCACATTCTTTATGGTTATGTCACACTACAGTTTTGTCATACTCAGAATCAAAAGCGTATCTAAACGTTATAATGGAACATAGTACATTATGCTAAGGGAGTTGTTTCTGTATCTCCCTAAGGACATTTTAAAAACGTTAAATTAATTTTTGTTAATTAATCTTAGTTTTTGTTATTAAATTTGAACTCTTGTTCAGAATAGTTTTTAAACCCAGAGTAAGCCTTGCAAATCTTCAGCTCCTACAAACTCTCAAATCCAATCGAAACTTGTGACAGACCTGCATATATGCTTGCTTACTTGTTTTCTGTAAAATTTATTTTTTAGATTTTCATTATTCAGAAGGGGAGCTTCAAACGGAAGAATTTTCAGTGAGTACCTACAACATTAATGCCATGTGCATTAGGATGACTAGTTTGACAAAGATATATTGAAGCAGACTAAATCAAAATTAAATTTTTAGGGTCTTGGATATAGGAGACTGCTTTTGACTCCCCAGTCTGAAGGACCAGCTGGGTCATCTGGGGTAGACTTTGGCACAAGTTCTAATTAGCACTCAGACTCATCCTCTAGACCTGTAATAAGATGTCTTAGTCACTCTGCCATCACGCCTGGCAGGCGTTTGTATACCACAGTATAAAAATCCAGATAGCTATTATTTCTATAATACACGCAGTCTAGAAAACTAACGCATCTACATTTCTAGACCCTTCTGCTAATTTTAATTGTTTACATCGGGGGTTATCAATCCCTAGCTTGCAGGCCATATCCAGCTCGCAAAGCCATGTGATCTGGCCTGTGGGTCTCCCCACCTGTCCAGAAATTTGATTCTGTGGGAGCGGTGGCAATTAACACTGCCACTGCTCCTTCACCACCAAATTTCCAAGCCCCACGCATGGGGATTGCCTTGGCCAGGCTGACTCTGCACAAAGGGATTGAGCCCTGTTCTTGTATGGCTGGATCAAGTTGGAGTCCAATCCAGCTACACAGAAACAGCTTGGCCAGAGTCAGAAATTGTGCAGGCTTGGGTCCTGGCCAAGCCATTCCCAGCCAGTCGCATTGGGCCTTGGCCGGGCTGTTCCTGAGGGGTTGCATTTGGCTTTGGCCCCATACAGTTGCATCCATCCTGGCCAGGCTGTTTCAGTATGGCTGCATCAGGCCCCAGTGGGGCCAGTACCACATGCTGAATCAGGCAGTGACAGGGAGCCAGAGGCTTCTGTTAGGGGGAAAATACTGTTGATTAGACTGTTGCATAAGCAAACAGGCTGCTGAAATAAGGGTGCAGACCTAAGCAGGACCAGAGAAGACTTAATGGATCATTAGCCCTAAGAACAAACACTTGTGTGAGCTGGGGACTCACCTGTCTCAGATACGGAGCACCCTGTGGATAGATAAGGGGAACACCTTGGAGGTAGGGCTGCCCTTGCCAGAAGCTGAGTGCTTGGGGGAGAGAGCAGCTGCTCAAGAAGCCTTGCAGGAGCCTGGACACCATAAGCAGAGTGGTGAGAATTCGGGGAGGATGGCTCTGGCATTTACCCAGAGTGAGGGAAGGGCTTTATTTAAAGCAATAGCTACATTTATTACCCTTTAGGTTTGTTACCCAGAGTGGGAATGGTTTTATTAAAGTGACAGCTTCCCTTTTTCTTTCATGAAGTTTGCTTACCCAGAGCAGGGAAGTTTTGGTTAAGGCAATAACCTGCTTTTATGTTATACAGCAAAAGCTTTATTATCCGGCACCCATGGGGAATGGGGGTGCTGGATAACAAAACATGCCGGTTAACTGAGAGGCCCGAACAGGTGTCTTTGTCTGTTTGGGCCACCACTTTTCCCGCCATGTCTGGGGCATCACTGCCCCTCCCTCAAGGGACAGGGAAGCAGGCCCCATGCAGACTGCTATGCCTCGGGCCATGGGGGCTCGACAGCTCAGGCTGCTTTGCCCCAGGCCACAGGGGCTCGGCCAAAATGGAAGTGCCACGGTGGGCGCTTCTGGTTTGACTTTTACCTTACAAGCTGGCATGCTGATTAATAGAGCATGCCGGCTTGTAAGGTGCTGGTTAAGGCAGCTTTTACTGTAGTTAGATTGGAGGACCAGGCATACAAAAAGGGAGAAGAGGCCACATGGTAGGGTGCCTTGGGGCACAATGAGCTCTGAATCCCCTTAAGGGGCAGGGATACTGGGGACATTAGAAGTACAGGCCCTGCCAGGACCATATACAAGCCAAATTGGTGGCAGCCTAGAGGGCTGAGCCCAGAAGTCAAGGTCCTTAAGTCACTGGTGTCTGAAGACTTGAATAGAGAGTGGCTTGACAGTGCACTGGGTTCTGTCTGGGCCTTGGGCAGCCTCCCAACTTGTTTCCAGCCTCGCCACACAGGGCCACAGACCAGATCTAGCCTGTGGACAAACCACACACCACATATCTAGTCTGCGGGCCAAAAAGGTTAGGCACTACTAGTTTACATGCTTCTGCTAATGATGCTGATACTGCTAAATACTTTTTTTTCCTTTCCCTTAGTTTCCTGATTGCCAAGCTACCTACTTGCGATTCGTCATCAAATCAGGTTTTGATCACTTTGTGTCAGTGCATAGGGTGATGGTAGATGGCATGGCAGAAGACATGTAAACCCCAGTTTAAATCATTACCTGAAAACATGTTGTGTAATAACCTGTGTATTCCTACTTGTAACATAAAGAATATTATTAAATCATTACACTAAAATGGATGCTGAGAATATGGATTGGTTTTTTTTCCTAGCAGTTTAATGTGCAGTGTAATACTGCTGTCAACTCTGGTAATGTATATCTAGTTTTGCAATACAGACTGCAAACACTGAAGAACTACTTTTTACTTAACCAGTAATGCACAAGCATAATGAGGCTCTATTTATGGAAGCCTGTATGGTGAAATTAAAATGTTATTTAAACCAGATTGTATATTTTAAAATGCAATTGCATGTTTCATTTTCTGTTAAATGTTTCCCTCCCACTGTGAGTTCAACAGAGGAAATGTGTGTAAAATATTTAGACTTGAGGCCTTCTCCCAAACCTAACAGACAGTGGCGATGTGTAGGGGGTGCACAGGGGTGCACGTGCACCCCCTGAGACCACTGGTGCACCCCTTGCCAGGCTGCGCTCCCTGTTTAACTGGCCGGCAGGGGAGCAGGTGGGAGCACCAGTGCCCACCCCTGCGAGGCCGGGCCAGGGAGTGGGGCCGCCAGCAAAAGCGGCCACACCACTTCTGGAAGTGGCCATGGGACTTCTGGAAGTGGCATGGCTGCTTTCATGGTGAGTGAGATTGGTCACCGGGGGACAACCCACCTCCGTGGGGTCACTGGCTGGGTGGGGGGAAGAGAATATGCCCCGTCTGACTCGAGGCACCAGACACCCACGCTAACAGAAGTCCTTCTAAAATTCTGTAGTTTATACACACCTGCTCAGCTCAAAAATCTTATGTAAGAAATGAGGTCGAATGTAACTTCTTACTGATGCATTGAAATAAAAGGGGGAAAAAGGAAGCTGAAGCCATATAAATGGTTATATTTTAATCATTCTGTTCAATGCATTGGCTCTCTAAATATTTTCTCAGATCAAGTCATAACTGCCTGTGCTTTATGCCATGACTATCATAAACAAATATTAATAGAACCAAGGCTGACATACATTAATACAAAATGTTTAATTCATGAATCTTTTGGTAAATTTTAAGGTAAATATTAAATAGGTAAATGAACGTTAAGAAAAAACTGCATATAAATAAAAATATTGTTTAAATGAAGATCAGTATGTATGCAAGTGTTTTCCATGTTAATGCAGTACTACCTCTTCCTGCCAGTTATTTTGTACAACTTTCATCTATCACTTCTTTTATTGTTTCCAGTTTCACAGAGTATGTTACCTTCTAGTTATAACACATTGGGTCATTGCTGTCCCTGTGATGATGAATAATTATCTTAATATGTTGGTACCAGAATACATTAGTATTTGCCCCTTACATTTTCAATATACTTTGTACAGTTGTAGTTGTGTGTAAATCCTATTGAAATCGATAATGTCCTGTAGTTATTCCTTCATTAAAGTTCTTAAAAAGTGTACAGAGCAATGTAGCCATAAGGGTTCCTAATATTCATCACTGCATATACCATGTACATCACATTATAGACAATATTCTGAAAGAGTAATATAGATTGCAGTAATGACATGTGTTTTAAGTTGCACACTCCAATAAATAACAGTTTATAGACTGAGCACCATTGTACAAATGTCCTTATCACTTAACACTATAGACTGCTTGATGAAAATTCCATGTTCTTTCTTCATTTCGCAATGTGCCTCCTTTGAAAATGAAAGCAGTATACAGCAGTGGGGGCCAGCCTTTTTGGCAGGCATGCCACAAATTAGCACTTCCGCCCTCCCCAAGTGCCACTTTGATCTCCTTCCTGTGCCTAATCTGTTGCACTGCTCCCTACTCTGCTCCCCGTCTAATCTGCTGCTCTATTTTCTGCTCCCTACCTGATATACTTCTCTGGTTTCTGCTTCCTGCCCTTTCTGTGCTTCGTGTCCTGTTCCCAATCTGCTCTGTCACAGACAGACGCTGCCTGGACCACTTGTGGTCCAGGTTGCCTACCCCTGGTATACCCACTGCATGTGGTGTCCGTCCGTATGGCATTCCCAGGTTGCTATCCTGAAGCAGTGTAGACATGGCTTTAGGGTTTGGTCCAGTGGAAGCCATTCCATTGATTTTGGTGAGATTAGGATTTTATTTCTGTACATCCTAGTTAGCCATTTGATTTTTTGATTAAGGTGCAATTCACTATCTGATTAACCAAGTTCTCATTTTCTTGTGTTTCTAGGTAGGTTAATGCTTTCATCTTAATTTCTAATTTCTGTACTGTTTTAAGTAAACCACTCCACATACATTTTTTTTTTTAAATTAACCAATAACAAGCTGTTCAGTGAACCACTTCACTCTTGTGACTTCTGTTTTGGTTCCCTATTTGAGTTTTTCCAGGATTGCCCGTATTTCCTGTGGGTGACAATTCCAAGGTCCTGCTCCACCCTGTAAAGTAAATAGAAACATACAGTATCCCTCAGATCTATTGCCAGGATGATGATACCCTACTGAGTTCAGAGTTGGCAACTTCATAGTCAGAGCTGAGTAGGTAATTAGAGAGTCATAAGTGGCTGCCTGATGGTCACCCTTTCTGCTGTACCGAGCAGAAACACCACAGCAGAAAATGGGACCTAGAATCTTGGATACAAACTTAAGAGACTGTCTCTTAGATAGTAAATGAAGTTTTAAGCTTATCCCTTCAAAGTTGTATACTGAGACTAGAAAGATAGAATGTATATCCTTAACCCCTTTAAAGATAATTTAAATTAAATAGAACTTGAACAGGAATAGTCTCCAGTTACCAGATGATAATAATAGACACTAAATATCTTGAAATACAATAGAAGGGTTAATGACATCCTCAGAGTGCTCCTTTTACTGCTGGGTAAACTGATACACAGAGATTAGGGCCAGCCAACAAGATAAGCACAGAGAGAAGTAGTCATGTTAATTGGAAAAGTCAGGCAGAAGACAGGGCAGACTTGCATTTTAGATACTATATAATTCAGAGATGCGTAGGTAAGAATAGAGATGGAATTGGAAAGGAGGGTTTTGCTTGCTCCCAATCCTGTGCTCAACAGGTTTTAAAAACATCTAGAGTAAATCTCTAGGCAGAACCAAAACACACTATCATGCCAATTCTGTGTGTTGCTAATCATTTTCTGTGAATAGGTGCTTAAAGAAGAAGTGGGACACAATGGAAACTTATTCCTCTGATCATAAAATATGCCACTGGGCATTTTAGAAATTAAAATTTCAGTATAACATGCTCAAAGTTCACTACCTTATAAACAACCTTTCCTTCTCGAAGCAGGTAAAGTCTTTCTGGCAGAGCAGCATACTTTGAGCTGCTAAGGTTTTCCATAGTATCCACAACAACTGGGCATAAGGGGTTCTTTTTCAGAAGAAACTGTGCAGCCATTTTTCGATCTTCAAGGTTTTGGTGATTTTTAATAACAATATTATTTTTGAAAGCCCATCCATCTAAAACAAAAATGGCAAATAAATGGGGATTTTTCATCTGTTATGTGTGTGTAAAATAGAACTAGCATTATAAGCAAAACGTATTCCATTAAAAGAATAGTATTAGATTACAAAGCCACATATTTACAAGTGAGGAAATGCCATCATTAAATTGCCCACGCAGCATTGATTCAGTGCCCTCACGTGCTTGCATTATGATACAGTTAAAATACTCAGCTGTAGCATGGCCCAGAGCAGCCCAGAGCTGGAGTTGCAGAGAGTCCAGCTGTCCCTGGGCTGGATTATGCCCGGTGCACATAGGATCTTTGTGGAATTTTAACCGCTAAAATCTAAGTCTGTCCTGCTCCTGTGTCACCATGACTCTATATAAAGCCTTGTGACTCGGTCAAATCGGGGCAAATGTTCCTGAGCATGGCAAAAGTCCCCTGCCACTAAGGCTACCCTCCACCAAACTTAAGTCCATGTTCCAGAGGGTGGGGACCAACCTTTTTGGCAGGTGTGCCACAAATTAGCCCCACAACCTTCCCTGGTGCCACTCTGATCCCCTTCCTCAGACCAATCTATTGCTCTTTTTTCTGCTTCCTGCACTATCTGCCACTGTGCTGGCAGTCCCCTCCCTAATCTGCCACATGCCATATAGAGGGTGCCCATGCCACTTGTGGCACCTGTGACAGAGGTTGGCCATTCTGTTCCAGAAGGTAAAGGCACAAAAGTTTGGAATCTTTATTTTATTTACTTACGTATTTCTGTATTTATTACATTTACACCCTAACAAAGGCTCAAGGAAGCTTACAATAAGAGACAAACCAGCTATGCCAGTAACTCTCTACGTAAAGTGTTATTTAGCCCTATTTTTTCCACCAGCATCCATACAATTTTGGGTCCTTCAGTTTTTGTACACTTGATTTGAGATGCCTACAATCTGATAACAGTTTTTGTTTCAATCAATGGGTCCTTGAACCTGAGAACGTTTTAAAATCAGGACAATCGGGATGCTATATTAAGCAGAATGATTAGCAGAGACTTCTAAAAACACAGGCCCTAATTTATAAACACCTTTTTCCTCATCTGGAATGTAGGGATGATGGTAATACTCATCTTTGCAAAATGCTGCCAGGTTATCGGATGAAAATGTACTAAGTTCATTTTTATGATTGCTCTGCTGCTCCTGTTTGATATACATCCTTAGGGTGACCATGGGGCATTGCTCTTGGATTCACTGGAAGCCATCCCTTATAAGTTACAGTGTTATACTGAAAAACATTATAGTTTTGTACTCACATCTTCTTTATATACCGCTAGTAGGTTTACAGTGAAAGATGGCAGCTGATTTGACTTGAAATTCTAATTTTATAAGTATCAGCTATAACCACAGAGGGATTCATTAGCCCATGTAACATCAGTTCAGTTGTAGTACTTGGAAAAGGGGTAACTTTTAAGTTGTATGTTTTTTGTATTGTTTTAAGTTGCTATCTGTACTGTACCTGTTGCATGAGCTTCTTCAATGTAGATTAAAAGGAAATCTGCTATGGGGTTGAAATCTTCGACAAGCTTGTTGAACTCGTCAAATTTCAACAGAAATGAAGGTCAGGTGCAGCTTCCAAAATTCAGGACTAAAGGTCTGT